GCTGAGCTATCTGTGGTCACCTGTGCTCTCCACGCTGGGCAAACAGGAAATGAAATTCAAATGTTCGCGGGGCTTTTCCTGTCTACCTGGCCAGTGCATCCGAGTTCAGATTGCTGTCCAGAGCAGTCAAAATGGTGCACTGTGGGACAGCTCCCAGAGGCCAATACTATCGAATTGTGGCCGCACTAACCCTAATTCGAAATGACAATATCGATTTTGGCGCTACGCCGCTCGTCGGGGTGGAGTACAGAAATTGATTTTAAGAGCCCTTTATTTCGAAATAAATGACTTCGTTGTGTGGATGGGTGCAGGGTTAATTCGATTTAACGCTGCTAAATCCAAATTAAAGTCATAGTGTAGACCAGGCCCAAGAACCCACCTATGCATTGATGGAAACAGGTATAACACTGTGTACATGCATAGCTCTGTGGCCACACTGTCACTGTAAGTACACAACAGTAGCCCTGCCACTTCAGGGGTGTCACAGGGAGACACTACAAGAACCACTTTGCTGTGAGGTATTGGTACTGTCCTCCACCTTCACACGCTTGCCTATGGCATGTCTTGATCATGTCACGCTCTGATTGTTACTCCCTACAGAACTGGGAAGACGACATGGAGCAGTTGGATGATGATCTGGTTCGTCTCCCGTTCCTTACTGAGGGATAAATGGCTATGCAGTGAAGTGAGTGCTCAGCAAGCTGCTGGATGGAATCGAAGATGGCTGACCCTGTGGGGCACTGACAAGTCAATTCTGCTCACACGGTATAGCTATGTGAATGCCCGTATTGTCATGGTATGCCCTTCTAGTGACTGTCACATCTGGTGAAGGAGAACCAGCACAGTGTGGTAGGAGCCAAGTTTTATGCCGAATGAGGCAGTCGACCTTCATGGTGCACTGTGATGATCTTGCACTAACTCTCCAGCACCAGAACACTTGATTCAGGGAAGCTGCACCAGGTCAGAAGTGGGTGGCTATTGCCCTGTGGATGCTGGCTATACCAGACAGCTATAGGTCCATTGTAAACCACTTTGGGGTTGAGCCATCCACTGTCAGGGTTGTGGTTGTGCAGGTTTGTGAGGCAATGAACACTGATTTACCCACAGGTGGTTGCCATAAGAAAAGTTCCAGCACTACTAGTTGGTTTTCAGAGAATGGGGTTTCCGAACTGTGCAGGGTCATCGATGGCACCCATAGCCCAATATTTTGCCCCCTGCACCGGGCAAGTGAGTCAGTGAACTGAAAAGGTTACTAGTTAATCGTTCTGCAAGGCTTAGTGGATCACATACTGCTGAATGGAGGGATTTGGTAATCTATGAAGGTGGACCAACCAGATTTGCACTGCCGGTGAACCTGAAAAACCAGCTGGAGTTTTGCTGCAACAGAAATTGGCTGAAATATGCTTACAGGGCGGAAAAGTCAGCACATAGTACTTTAAATGCCCTTGATCTTAAAACTGAGAATTAAGCACCAGAGCAAGAAGGGATATTAGTGAGGAGAGTGAGGGGGCATTGTAACTCGGGGTCTTCCTCAGTTCACCATGGGGAGGGTGGGGGGTGGCGGCTGCTTCAACCTGCTCCTATTCTATGCAGTCTGGCAGGGTGAGGGCGCCTCTTCCAAGCTGCAGCCACAGAGCATCTGGTGGCATCTGAAGATGGGAGACCCAAGCTGCATTTTGCAAAGGGTAGAGAGTGTGCCCTGCTCCACGGCCGTCCTTCTCCCTGTGCCCCTGCTGAGACCTGTGTCCCTTTTCATGCTCCCCTCCCTCCCTGCCTTTTCTGTACATGATTATTGCCTGGCACATAGTCCATGGCAATGCCAATCTCTTTGCTTTGTGCAATATAGAGGATCATCCCCACAGACCGTGTTTGATTGCAGGCAGCATGTGACAACCAATGAGGACTGGTGCAGAAAGGAGATGGGGGACAGAGCAAAATGTGTCAAAACATCTGAGCAGTTGATCAGTTGCTAAAGTGAGGCCCCCTCAGATCACAGCCAGTGCTTGTTAGGAGGGAGGAGGCGAGATCTTCACATGCTAAAATGTGGGATCTGTGCTGGTGCAGACCAAGGGGAGTAGCATGCTCCATGCACCCATTCATTTTCTACCACTCGTTCAGTTCACACATCACCCCTCCACATCATACCCTGTCATTCTGTGCACATATCCCAGCACCTCAAACAGTAGCCTCCACTGAGCCAGCCCACAAGCTACACAAGGGAGGGAAAGCACAGTCGCAGGCCCAATCCTTCATAGGTAGAGACCAGGGCAAGGACAGGGCTTCTGTGTGTTCAGGGGAAGTCCCATGCTTCTCAATAAGCACCCTAGGCCCATGGCTCCCTGCCCCTAGCCCTGTCTCCCATTTCCCTGGGAAAGAAACTGCCCCACCCTTAGACCCCTGCCCCCCAGGGCCCTGGCTTTCCCCAATATCTGGTTTCGCAGTTCACAGACTTAAGGCAGAAAGGGCTGTTGTGATCATCTAGTCTTACATCATGCAGAAGGCAACACAACGTCCCTGAATTAATTCCTGCTTTGAGTCCAATAGTTGTGCTTGATCTAGAGCAAGTCTTTCAGAAAAATATCCACTCCTGATTTTAAAAGTGATGGAGAATCCAGCGCAACCCTTGGTCAATTATTCCAATGGTTAATTACCCTCTCCCCCCCTTAAAACTGTGTGCCTTACTTCCAGTGTGAATTTATCTAGCCTCAAATTCCCACCATTGGATCCTCTTACACTTTTGTCTGCTAGATTGAAGACACCTCTGTTATCAAACTTCTGTTCCCCATGTAGGTACCTATAAACTGATCAAGCCAAAGATACAAAATGTGCCATCTTGGTCAAAGATCAACTGCCACTAGCACCACCATGCAACAGTGGGAACGAGGCAGACCCACAGTCAAGCCCAGAGACCTGGTGAACCAGGGTTGGAATGGGGTGGGCAGTGTCTGGAGGAGGCCAAGTGACTTCACGCCTGGGTTCTTAAGTTCAGGAGCAAAAGGTTGGAAGAGCTAATGCATTTCTTAATAAAGGAGCACATAACCAGCCACCCGAAGTTCTGAAACCAAGCTCCATGTTTTAGTTTGGCCAAAGCGATCAGCGAGCGGCGTATCATGGCAAAGTTTCAGAATTTTGAGTCGAGACAGAGCATCGGGACATAAATGTGCTCTTCATGATAGAGGAAACCATGCTGCAATTGGAAACATCATGGACTGAATATCTGCACATTGTCCAAGGCGTGGCGGATCTGGGTAGTGACTGTGTCATGAGGAGCAGGGACTGAATGATGGACATTAGGCTCTTGTCCACAGTTCCATTGAGAAAATTGGCTGGCTTAAGGACTGTCAAAAGAGGCTCTGTGTGTGATTCAACATATTCATCCTTGTGGGACAAGATGTCCATCTTTCCATTTCTAGCACCCGGACAGTAAGTAACAATGAACTCGAATCGGGCAAAGAATAGTGACCAGCAGATCTGATGCTGATTTAAGTTTTGGGGCTGTGTGGCAATATTCCAAGTTCATGGAGTCAGTAAGTTCCTTCCAAGAGGTGGCACCACTCAGCAAAGACTGCCTTCATTGCCAGTCACTCCTTAGCCCAGATATAGTAGCTCCTTTCTGCCAGGTTAACTTTTGTGACTAAATGGCACATGCATGGCGCTGATTATTAAGGGAACAAATGGGTCTGCATACAGCAACGGATACCTACAACTGTACATGAAATGAGGTTAAGGAATTCTCATCCCTTTTTATTATTGCTCTTAGGCCTAAGCACTTAACCAATATTCGGGGCCTTGCTGGGCTGTTTCTATTAGGACGAGAAGTTGATTATAGAGTCAGGAATTGCTTTGGCGCAATCTTGTTTATTTACAAAGAACGTACACAAAGTTCTGATTCCTGAGCACAGTGGGAACAAACAGGAGGCAGTTTTACTCAGAAATCCCCGCCTGCCTTTGCAGCTAGTCCTGTGCCCCAAGGACTCGGTCTGTGCATCTCCTACTGGTGCATCTCAGGAGGTGCTGCGAGGTAGCATTAGTAAAATTTGCAAACTTAAGAACCCAGGGTACGGCTAAGAAACCTCACCTTTCAGGTCAACAAGCCACCTGAGGGAAGATGGGTATTGCAGAACATCTGGGATCCCTCACCTTGGGGAGAGGAGGTCCAGACATCAACAAACTGGCTATGCCAGCTTTTCACCAGTCTCCCTGCACCCAGTAATATCTCTCTAGGAGAAGTGATGTGTCACCAACATCACCATCAGCCTCCTTGACAACAGTTCCAGCTTCTAAGGGCTGGTCTACAGTGGGGGGCGGGGGGATCGATCTAAGATACGCAACTTCAGCTACACAAATAGCGTAGCTGAAGTCGAAGTAGCTTAGATCGAATTACCTGGGGGTCCACATGCCGCGGGATTGACGGCTGCGGCTCCCCCGTTGACTGTGCTACCGTCGCTCAGTCCAGTGGAGTTCCGGAGTCGACGGGGAGCGCGTTCGGGGATCAATATATCGCGTCTTAACGAGACACGATATATCGATCCCCGATAGATCGATTACTACCTGCCGATTCGGCGGGTAGTGAAGACGTACCCTAAGTGATGAGAAACCAGACAACTGCGAGCACTGAAGTGTTCACCATCCCACCCGCCACCCCCATCATCTTAAATGTCTTCTTTCCCCCTTTTTTCTATTTTTGTCTTGGTTTTGTTAACTTGGAGATGTCCCAGCCCTTTTTATTCTCTAATCTGATGGTGTGAAAGCGTGGTTTTGTACATGCGTGCAGCGTGTGCGTATGAGCGCCAGTAGAATCCACACCAGGAAAGTGCCTTAAAGAAAGTTCCCCAGATAGAAGTAGCCCTAAAATAGTCTCGAAGATATTTGCTGGAATATGTTCTGTCTGTGTGTGTTTGAGGCCTGAGAAACAAAGCTGTCAGCTGTAAATTGCTAAATAAGTGATGACAAACTTCTGCCTATCAGTGTTTTGATTTTTTAAGCCTGCACTGTAATAGCTCTGGGTGAGGGGAGGAAAGTGTTCACCACCACACTCTGAAATGTCAGGCAGAAGCTTTGTAATTAGCTCAGAGCTTGTGGTTCAGACATTAGATAATAAACTGCTTACAGTATTAAGATAGTGATCCAGCACCAAGTTATAGATTTGATTGACTGGGTAAAATTTTTTAGTTGGGATTCATAACCAAAACAGTCACCTTCTTAGATCCCTTTTTAGGATTAATACAACAAATAATCAGTTCTTCTTAATCTGATGAGGTAACTAACTTGGTGACATAATTTTGATCCAACATTGAGACTAATTTAATCAGGGTTTGATTTTGATTGGGTAGTTGCATTGCTCTAGGCTTCATTTAGTTTCATAGTACAATTAGTAGCTTCGCTTTGGTGATACAGTTTGTTGGCGTATTAGTTTTAATACAATTTATAAAATTGATACCAAACAATATTTCTTTCAATAAGCAACATGGGTCTACAACCTTGAGGATGTGGGCAGATATCATTGGGTGAACCTAACAGCCTAACCAGCTCCACATAATAAACCTCTGGTTCTCTCAACCCTGACAGTCTCTTCCAGCCCTGTGCCCGTGGAGGCTGAATGTGTGAGTTCAACAAGCTCACAAAACTGGAGCATATTTTCCCCATAGTGTGAGGTTCTCACTCTTAACACCAGTCAGGAGACTGTGCATCCGGAGTCCTTGGTGATGGCAGAGATGCCTTGAAAGAGGCAGGTCCTGTCCCTAGCCACTGTCCCAGCTAGCAGGCCAACAGCCAGGCCAGAGCGGTGTCGGTGCAATGGCTCTCGCTCACCAATTCTTCCATATACGTATGATCATATCAGGTTTCCTCTTTTTCACAGCATCTAGCTCTCTCTGTGTGTCTTCATTTACATTGACACTGCTCAAGCTGTGGGGGAAAACAAGTGAGAATAAGTGTTAGACATAATGCCCGAGAACACAGCCCCTTTGTAGCAAAGTTAGCCACACACCATTGTTTTTAGTGAAATCATCTTTAGAATGGACACAAACAACTATTGCAATGAATGTTCAGACATAACTATCTGGGCCCATCTTCTTTCCCCATCCCACACATTTTTGGTCCACCCCGGTAGTCACCATCTGCACTGGATTCCCTTTGGAGTCTGACCAGGCCCCTCCTTGCCTGCTGAAGAGGCTGCTGTTGAGTGACGTGCGGAACTCTCAGCCCACTTAGAGGGAGGGAGATGCCAGCATGTGACATTTATAGCAAGCAAGAAAACAGACTTCAGGGAACTTATTTGTTTCTGAATTGTTATTAATCTATAAAATTATTGTTCTAAATCTAAATCATTTTGAAAGCTTTCATCCTGTGTTTTGGTTGTAACATCCCAGAATCAAAGGCTGTGTGGGGGATGTCTAGGACTGCGTGGAAAACTGGACATTGTTTAAATGTATTTGCTATCCCAACGCTCCTCAGAAATTACTTCCATTTTTTTAAATTCCCATCGGCCTTTTATCTTCCTTTATTTCTGGTTCTTTTAGTTCTCTCTCTTTTATAGATTTGCCTTTTCCCCTTCAGGTCAGTGGTCTAGAAATTTCAAAACATTCTCTTGTAGCTGTGGATTTAAAACTCCTAGCTGGCTGGCTGTGCTGGATTTAAATGCTGCTTAAGCTGAAACCCTGGTAGCTTTTATGATCTTAAAAATCGTTTAAAACTGCCTGACATTGTTCTGGAGGAAAAGGCAGATGTCAGTTGCCTAATGAGCCAGCTGGACCTTCCAATCCTACCAATATCAGTATGAGCTGCTGACTGGAGAGACAACCAAGATGAGGAAGAGAGGAGTGAAGGAATGGGGTTGCCATCATAGATAGAAAAAGAAATTAAACAGAAACAATTAGGTGTCCACTTTGTATTCTTTCCCTCTTTTCCTTCTTCTTTTTCTGTTTGTCTGTTTGGCTTTGTCCCAGAATTATTTGTTGAAATGGTGGTAAATTATCTTTTGAATGGAGGGCTATTTTAATTCATTTATGAAACACCCCAGACTTCTAGTCTCTGTCCTGCTTCCTGATTAAAATAACAGATTCTAACATAAAACGACGCTGCCTTTGGAGTGCTCAAACAGCAACTTTATTATCCCATGTTTAAGCTAGTCGAGCTGCATGAATAATAAATTTTTCAGGTTGGTGGCTGAACTAGAAAAAAAAAAAAGAAAAAAGAAAAGGTTCATTTTGAACCAAAATCTCATTTTTCAGTTTTTTTAAAAGAAATTAAACAAACAATTTTTTTTGGTGCCAAATGAAAATTTATTTGATCTGAAAAAAATTCGGGTCTCTTTGTGGTTTTGTTTAGTTTCTTTTTAAGTGCTTTTTACCCTCAAAAAACCAATTAATCAAATTAGCTACATTTCTAAACAAAACATTGTTTCAAAGTGACAAAGTCAAATCTTTTGTTTAAAAGAAGTCAGCTTTTTATTCTTCCAAAACTATTCACCAAATGCAACCTCAATTTGCAAATATTTTCATCCTGAAACTGCATTTTTCTGCACATTTACTATTTGAGCAAAAAATGTCACCCAGCTCTACTATTATCACAGCAGTGGGTCTCTCTTACTTTCTCTGCGGGAGGAGACTAGGTCCCAGCTCTTGGGTGCATGGACAATAACACTGTGACCCCAGGAGAAAGAGCTTAAATCACACCACTATGTGCCAGATTTTCCAAGGAACTCAGCACCCACAACTGGGGCTGGATGTTCAAGGGGACTGACGTCCCATTTACCCAGGGTGCTGAGCTCTTCTGAAAATCCGACCATAGAAGTCACAAGCTACGACATGCTGAGCACTTTAGAAAACCTGGCCCCATGTGAAAGAAACACCCGTGAAAGGAGCCCACTTGTAACTTACCCCAGTTTCTGCAGTTTGCAGTTTGGGTGTTTTAGTCCTTCACACAACTGTTTCACACCTGAATTGTCCATTGTTTTCTCTCCCAGGATCAGCTCTGTCAGCGTCTGGTTGGTGCTGAGAGCAGAGGCGAGATCCCCACAACAAGCAGCTGTGAAATGGCAACCACTCAGTCTGCAGGAGCCAGAGATATACAAAGATTTGTGACTGCTTATTTTTGCCCCATTCGCTGGCATCAGCAGTCTTCATTCTAGGCATGTTCCGATAAACCACAATGCTCTGAGAGGAGCCTTTGGGATTATTCATAAATTCCAAGGCCAGAAGGGGCCACTGTGATCATCTGGTCTGACCTGCAGTATAGGACTTCCCCCAAACAATTCCTGTTTGAACTAGAGCAGAGCTTTTAGACAAAAATATTGAAACTTGATTTGAAAATTGCCAGTGACAGAGAATCCACCACAACCCTTGGTAAATTGTTCCAGTGGGTAGCTACCCTCACTGAAGCTTATTTCCAGGCTGAATTTGTCTAGCTTCAACTTCCAGCATTGGATCCTTTTATACTTTCCTCTGCCAGACTGAAGAGCCCATTATCAAATATTTGTTCCCCACACAGGTACTTCTACACTCTGATTATGTCACTTCTTATCCTTCTCTTTCCCAAGCTAAGCGGATTGAACTCTGTCACTATCAGGCAGGTTTTCCAAACCTTGCATTATTCTCATGGCTCTTCTCAGGACCCTCTCCAATTTATCAACATCCTTCTTGGACTGTGGGCACTAGAACTAGACACAATATTCCAGCAGCTGTCACACCAGAGCCAAATACAGAGGTAAAATAACCTTGACTCCTACTCGAGATTCTTCTGTTTATACATCCATTAGCGCTTTGGGCCACAACAACGCACTGGGAGCTCATGCTTAGCTGATTATCCACCGTACCACCCCCCCCCCCGGTCTTTTTCAGAGTCACTGCTTCCCAGGATAAGGTTCCCCACCCTGTAAGTGTGGCCTACATGCTTTGTTCCTAGAGGTACACGTTTCTATTGGTCTGTACTAAAATGCACATATTGTTTGCTTGCGCCCAATTTCCCAAGCAAGACAGATCCCTCTGTAGCAGTGACTTGTGCTCTAAATCTCTACATTATTTCCCATTTTGCAATTTTTGTGTCATCCGTAAACTTTATCAGTGGTACTATGTTGTGTGCCAGGTCATTGATAAAAATGTTACAAAGCATAGGGCCAAGAACTGTGGGACCCCAACAGAAACACACCCTCCCGACTTAAACACTACAAGCCCTGGAGGGAATACTTTACCATGTGCAGGTATTGTGTCAGTTACTATGTGTTCTATATGCGATTGTTCAGATGAGTTGAAGGGAAAGGTAGATTGAGGGTCTATTTCTAATGGGTGGGGTAATCCTAACAATAGCCTGTAATGACCTGCTGGCTCCCTATTGGATACTGCCCCCTCTAGAGTGGTAGGAAGAGAAAGGACTAAATCCTAGCTTATTCTGGTGGAGGAAGGACCTTGATTAGCATCTCACCAGCAGGGGGCGCTGTGTTAACCAGAATGACAAGGAAAGAGACGTGACATCCTGTGGACATTAGGGATCAGGCCAGGAGAGAGAGATGGCCAGTGTGGGTGAGAGGGAGCAGCAGGCTGCAGGCAGCGAGGACAAAAAGCCGGGCAGTGGTATCCTGAGAGCCAGGGCAAGGAGGCAGGTGGGAAGGTGAGAGCTGATCAGGGAAGCCGGCTGTGGCTGGCGGGCTGGGAGCAGCAGCATCAGGACATGTGGGGGTGGAGCAGCCTGCAAGCAGGAGGGGAGAGGCAATTGCTAAGGCTGGGTGACAGGAGGACAATGCAGAGGGACCCCGAGGAGACCAGAGATGACAGGACTGAGCTCTGGCCAGTGGGGTTGCAGACAAGCCCTAAATTGTCTGCCATGAGAAAGATGGGCCAGAAAGATGGGCCAGAAAGAGCACCAGGTGCCAGTCTACAGCCAGCTCTCAGTGACACACTTGCTGGCTGGGCTGTGTTATCAGTAGCTGGGTGACACTGCAGATTTGGCCATGCACTGCTACTGGCTGGGGACCGACTGACTGGCTAAGCGGTAGTTCTGCAAAAAAGGACCTGGGGATTACAGTGGATGAGAAGCTGGATATGAGTCAGTAGTGTGGCCTTGTTGCCAAGAAGACTAACAGCATATTGGGCTAAATTAGTAGGAGCATTGCCAGCAGATGGAGGGAAGTGATTATTCCCCTCTATTCGGCATTGATGAGGCCACATCTGGAGTATTGCGTCTAGTTTTGGGCCCTGCACTACAGAAAGGATGTGGACAAACTGGAGAGAGTCCAGCAGAGGGCAACGAAAATGATTAGGGGGCTGGAGCAGGGCCAGCTCTAGGTTTTTTGCCGCCCCAAGCAAAAAATGTTTTGGCTGCACCCCACCCCAGCCCTGGGCTCTCCCCCCGCACCCTCACCCCCTGCTACCCCAGAGCTGGGATCTCCCCCCGGCCCTCTGCTGCCCCAACCCCTGGGCTCTCCCCCCCACCCGCACCCCCTGCCACCCAAACTCTGGGCTCTCCCCCTCACCCCACCCCTGGGCTTCCCCCAACCAGTGCTGACTCCGCCTGCTTCCCCCTCGCCTCCAGCCGGTCCGGCGCTGGCAGGGTCGGGGTAAGCAGCGGGGCTCCCAGGCCGCGCCTCAGCCCAGGGTACCTCCAGCCGGGGCTCCCGCCTCCAGGACCGGCCGGGACCCGGGACAGCAGAACCGGGGGACTGTCTGGCAGAGGGCTGAGGAGCTGGGGCAGGGCAGCCCCAGAGAGAACGGAACACAAGCCCCATATGGCAGTGCCCCGGGCACCGGTCCCCACTATGGCCCCGCTGCTGCTGCTGCTCCTGGCTGCCCTGCCGCAGTCCCTGGGTGGCTTGGGCCGCTTCGCCCAGCTCCGACGAGAACCGCAGCGGCCCCAGGGAGCCCCCTGTGCAGGATGTGCTGCTGCTGCTGCCAGGGCCCACTCTAGGCTTTTGCCGCCACAAGCGCAAAAAAAAAAAAAAAAGGACTGGCTGGAATGCCGCCACTGAAAATGTGCTGCCCCAGGCACCTGCTTGGTTTGCTGGTGCCTGGAGCCAGCCCTGATTATGAGGAGAAGCTGAGGGACCTGCGGTTATTTAGTCTGCAGAAGAGAAGAGTGAGGGGGGATTTGATAGCAGCCTTCAACTACCTGAACGGGGGTTCCAAAGAGGATGGAGCTCGGCTGTTCTCAGTGGTGGCACATGACAGAACAAGGAGCAATGGTCTCAAGTTGTAGTGCGGGAGGTCTAGCTTGGATATTAGGAAACACTATTTTACTAGGAGGGTGGTGAAGCACTGGAATGGGTTACCTAGGGAGGTGGTGGAGTCTCCTTCCTTAGAGGTTTTTAAGGCCCGGCTTGACAAAGCCCTGACTGGGATGATTTAGTTGGGGTTGGTCCTGCTTTGAGCAGGGGGTTGGACTAGATGACCTCCTGAGGTCTCTTCGAACCCTAATCTTCTATGATTCTATGAAATGACGGGTGATGATCGGGGGGAGTCCCAGCCTCTTTATGGGAAACACATTAATGTTGATGTTGCTTATTCACATTTACTGTTTACAGACAGTTTGGGAGAACAGAGCAGTGTTCAATTTCCTTTTCTTTCCAGCCCTTTTGGGAGAGCAGGAGTGACAGCTCCAGTTCAGGGCAGTGTGCACATATGTGGGGCTGTTACTGCCTTAGTGAGTAAAGTCATTGATTTTCTAACTTCAAAATATGCTGCATTTGTGGTTTGCTAAAAATCACAGGATTCTGCCCTTGGCTGCACCAAGTTCACATCATGCCCTGCTGAGAGACTTTGAGGAGAAGATATTGGCTGTAACCCACCTTCCTACTGCCCTGATCCTGGGCCAGGTGGGGGCCAAAACAGCCTCTGGTATAACTTAGAGGAAACTGCAGAACTAAAATTCATTTGCAATTTAACACCATTAATTTGTGCTTGAATAGGGACTGGGATTGGCTGGCTCACTACAGAAGCAACTTTGCCTCTCCTGGAGTTGACACCTCCTCATCAGTTGTTGGGAGTGAACTACATCCACCCTGATGGTGTTGGCCCTGTCAACACTGGTTCTCCACTTGTGAGGTAACTCCCTTCTCTTCATGTGTCAATATAATAATGCCTGCATCTGTAATTCTCACTCCATGCATCTGAAGAAGTGGGTTTTTTACCCACAAAAGCTTATGCCCAAATAAATCTGTTAGTCTTTAAGGTGCCACCAGACTCCTTGTTGTTTTGATAAATAGAGTGTAAATCACAACACCACCATGTTAACAGGCACTGACTAAAGGGAACCAGCTGGTACTTACTGCAGTATCTGTAATTTGCAGTTTGGATGTTTTAATCCTTCACACAGCAGCTTCACTCCTGAATCTCCTAGGTTGTTCCACCTTATGCCGAGCTCTGTCAGGGTCTGGCTGGTGCTAAGAACAGAGGACAGATCTCCACAACAAACGACTGTGAGATCACAATGCCCCAGTCTGTAGGATATGAAGATATATAGAGAGCAAAATGACGACTTGTTTATGCCCCATCCTCTGCATTTCCCCTCCTTGATACCTGTATGCAACTCTAAAAGTGATTCTTAATTTAGAAGCAATACAGAAATCACTTCATTTTGATTCTGATTACAAAAAGACCCCTATAGAATATCAGGGTTGAAAGGGACCTCAGGAGGTCATCTAGTCCAACCCCCAGACAGACTTTTGCCCCAGATCCCTAACTGGCCCCCTCAAGGATTGAACTCACAACTCTGGGTTTAGCAGGCCAATGCTCAAACCACTGAGCTATCCCTTCCCCCAATACAAAGCTGTAGACCAGTTTGGGCAAACTACGGCCCACAGGCCATTTTAAGCTGGCCCTCGAGGTCCCACTGGGGAGTGAGATCTGCGGCTTGTCCTGCTTCGGTGCTCTGGCGTTCCAGACGGGGAGCAGAGTCAGGGGGCCGCTCTATGTAGCTCCCGGAAGCCGTGGTATGGCCTGCTCCGGCTGTTGCGCACTCCAATGGCCCCATCCGGTGCTACTGCTTCCGGGAGCCATTTGAGGTAAGCGCCGCCCGGAGCGTGCATCCCTGAGCCTCTCCCCATGCCCCAACCCCCTTCCCCAGCCCTGATCCCCCTCCTGCCCTCTAAACCCCTTGATCCCAGCCTGGAGCACCCTCCTGCACCCCAAACTCCTCATCCCCAGCCCCACCCCAGAGTCCCCACCCCCAACCAGAGCCTGCACCCCTTCCCGCACTCAAGCCGCCTGCCCTAGCCCTGATCCCCC